AGAAAGAATTACAGAATTTTTCATAAAGACACTGCATGAAATTTTAAGCATCATATGTCTTTTAACTACATTAGATTATATTACAATACACTTCCCTGACAAGACAAAAGACCCATCACCACAAACTCTAGTCAGTATGGAGTCTATCAACAACATAGAAAGGTATTGCCCACAACATCTACAATAATCAGGATATAGATAGGAGAAAAAAAGCCTTGTTTTATCAATAAACTGACACTGCTGTTGTGTAATAGTCTTCCAGTGGAGTTAATGTCTCTATGATGTAACCCGTAATGTATTTCACTTTCTCTGTTTTTTTTCCTTTCCACAGCACTGCCTAGAAATCCTTCTGGACAGGCACATGTGGCTCCAGGAGACCAGACAGACTGGCTCCTCCAACATCAACAGTCTCAGAAAGAAGGGGGACAAAGCTTGCAGTTCTAGATTGCCGCCTTTGGCATTGCAACTTGTTTTAAATGCAAGTTAAACCTTGTAACAAGGGTTTGGCACTCAATTTCCCAAAAGCATTATTCTGGAAAACTAACAAGGAAGTGTGAAATAAAATAAACAGTAGAGGTAGCTCCTTCTGATCCTTGTCCCATGCATTAGTCACAAGATATTTTCCTATGTATCAAGAAACCAGCAAACCACTCAACAGACCAGTAAACTAGCTCTATATGTTTATTTGCCAAGGACAGCTGGAAGCTTACCATAAATAAGGTAGTAGTAATCACTACTGATAGTCAGAAAGCTTTACTTGCTATTAGTATTGTGAAGCTATTGGATAATCACGGTGAAGCACCTTCTTCAACTAATTCTCTAACCTGTCTGGAGCAAGGGCAGGAGGAAATCTATGAAGATGATTAATTCTCTCCAAAAGCTCTTAATCACCCACAGCGCTGGCAGAATGAGCCGAGCTGCTGGAAAAACATTCTTTCACTGGGAGAGAAGGTTCTCAGTTATTAGTGTGAAATAAAAACAAACAAAACTAAAAATAAATTAGGACTTGTAAATAATAAGTTTGCTGTTTGGAAAACCAGCAGCATGGAAGCTTTGATAGCAAGAGGATTCTAAACAGGCTCTTGGCAAAGGAAATTTTTTTTGACAGATACATGTAATTTACTGATCCAATATAAAGGAATATTAAGTCACTCAAGTTAACAGCAACGGGAATAAAACCTAATTCATGTGGTCTAAGGGTACAGGAGGGTAAAATAGGTTCAGTGACACTTCTTGAACGAACATTTTCAAATTTCCGAAATGTGTGTAGAAGTGGCAAGCACTAGTTAATGGCTTTCTGAAGCTATTGGGCCTGTGAACCTCATGACAAGATTGGCTCAATTTAGTCAAGTTTTACTTCCTATTTCCCTCCCTCCTCTTTAATTAGTTTATGCCTCTGGTGTAAATTAAAACAGCCTCTGGAATAAGATCAGAATTTACATTCACAGCGTAACAGAGCACCCCATTACAACCACAGGCTTCAAAATAATCAACCTACCAGTTGGCATAGTTGTGATCAACTTTTCAAAAAATTTCCAGCACACACCAAAGCATGAGATTCTGACAGACCCGCTTAACGTTCTTAATGCAATCAACTGAAATTTTTTCTTTAATATACAAGAGACTCTTTTAACTCTATCGGAACACTGGGAGGCTCTGCTTGAAAAATGGTGTCCCAATAGCACTGTTGTTGGTACACACAAAATAATTCAAATCAGAAAAATGTTGAAGTTGTAGATTCAGCAAGGACCATCATATATTTTGTGAGCACATCTAGAGACTGAGATTACTATTTGGAGCTCTTTCGGAAAAAGACTGAGACCTAACTGTTACTCTTCTCTGAAAGATTAATACAGTTAGCTTGGCACTGACCTCTGTTTCTAGACAGACCGCGTTTGTTCTTTGTTTAGTCGGTTTTTTATGTTATTCCACAAAATTATTCTTTTTCTCCTCCAAATAAAGACCCATAATATTTCCTGTCTGAAAGCACTCCTTGTAGAAAAACGTTTAGACATTCACAGAATTCACAGACATTCACATTCCAAAAGACAAACCTGTGTAAAGCGAAAGGCAGCAGGGAAGAAAGAAAAAAAAAAAAAAGGCATTGAGACTATATACATTATTACAGTATTCTCTCTTTTACTGGGGAAGTTTGAACTATCATCCCACATACGAACAAAGCTTTTGTTATGCTTTTCTAGTTCTCCTCATCGAGGTCCTCTCAGCCAACATCTAGGAAAAGTATCAAAAGGGTGGAGTTTTGTATCAAAAATGGTACAATTCCCAGCCTGCTGTTCTCTGAGTTTCTGCCTCCTTTCTGGGGACTGGGACTTTTACACCTGAAATCAAGCACAGGATCTCAGTCATACTCAGGCTGCTCTGACCTACAAAGCCAAAAAGTGTTAGAAATGCCAAAGGTGTGCAGGTATTTCTTGATTCCTTAAGACAAACTGTTCTGCACAATCTCTTACACTGCATTCTATGAACTTTGAATGATTTTAAGAGTAGTTTCTTCTCAGCTAAGGAAAACTGGCTCATCAGCCCTTATCTTCAGCTACTCTACTCTATTAGCACCCATTAAAAATCCAGAGACTTTGTCCTCTATTAAGTTTTGGGTTAGTAATTTTTGTAATTCTCTGAGGATGTTCTGAAATAATGAATATCTTACAGATGCTTCCTCTGAGGTCTGTCCAGATGACAGCTGATATAGGACCGATACAGAAGAAACCAAAAAAGTTAAGGAATTCCTGTCCTGAACATGCGTACCTTCTTAATAGCTTTCCTCCCTACAGAGCAAAGGTGGCTAGACTTCTTTGCTAGTGATGATTTTTGCTCACCTTTAGAAAATTTTCCAAATCCAAAAGGAAGGCACCAAATGGACAGAACACTATTAAGATTCTTGAAACAAAATACCTCCCCGATGACCGTGGCTGCAACTGCTTATATACCCCACGTGAACCACTGTCACAGCTAACATGATAAAGTCACTACTATTTCCGACTTCTTGGTATGTGAAAAAGCCAAACAACCTTTTATAAACAGATTTAAGTGTCTCCCCCACTGCATTTGAATAGATGCCACTCCCTACCTCATGCTTCTGAAAGTAAGTCACTCCTGTATACTGCATCCAGAACAATCTATTATAGCTCAGCCAGAAGCCACAGGAATTATTTTTCCTATAGGTAATTTTTTTTTTTCTACTACAGAATATTCAGTCCACTTAATGTAATGGCCTTTTTGGCTTAATCCATAAATACTGCGTGGTGTACTAGAAAACAATTTTGTGGATTAGATATTAAAGGTCCCTTCTGTCAAAAAAATAAAGATTCCAGGCACTTGAGACAAAAAAGTACATCACATCACAATACTCTCTTTTCTCATAAGCAGGTTCTATTGCCCAAGGTTTGCATATACTATTGTTGAACACACAATAGCTGCTGTTTGCCCTAACAATTGACACATTATTCCAGCTCCACACATTGCTGCTGTACCAAGAAGAGATCCTACATAAAACCAAATTCTACTTTACGACACGTAGCAAACTATTTTTTTGGCCCCAAAAATGAGAATTACACAATAGCTTATGAAAATCCAGGTAAAAAGAGAAGAACATTACACATACAGAAACTATTTTGAACATGGTTGTAATATAAAGATAACATTTTTCAATGAAAAACTATCCGGTTTTCTCAGTAAAATCAGTTTATATTTTAAAGTCTAGCTTTGCATTAATAAAGAGTTGGGATCTCACATTCTCAATGTTATTTCCCTTTTTTGCTAATAGACACATATCCAATATTATCCCACTGCAATGTCTCTCTTTAGAATATTGCTAAAGAATCAGCAGTTTTCAGCGCTCTCTTTTTGTCAGATTCTCCTTTTTTATGTGTGTGAAACATTCCCTACTTTTCTGTATGGTATATTTTTAATACTAGTTGTAGAAGGCATAATAAACTTCCTACTTATGCTTACCACATAACCAGGACTGGGTTTGAGGGCTGGCTGGCCAGCCATAATAAAAAACAGATTTAAAAATAACTCATTTTCATATTACAGAACAAGTTATTCAGTCCCAAGATTCCAGAGCTGATCAGGATCACAAAAGAACACAATGTCCACTCTGGAAAAAAAAAGATTCCTGGGAAACAGAGGAAGAAACTCAGGATTTGCAGAAAGAAAAGCAGCAATGCAGTGGGGTTTTTTGTTCAGACATTTTTTTGTGCCAGTATTGACTGAAAGCAATACTGAGATGCAAAGCTATCTTTATCCCTTAATAAATTTCTAATCCTAGCTGCTATGTGAACTAATGGAAATTTGAAAGCCACAAACAAAAAGAGCAAATCAGCTCGTGACTCCTATGTAAGAGGAAAATATCTAATTACCATCTGGAGGAAAGACAAACATGGTGAAGCATTTGTAATACATGCTTTCATGTGACTTAACTAAAGCTTCTAATATCCACAGATGGAGGAGACTCTTAAATTTTTAAATACTTTGCCTTGTGTTCATGTACAGTTTTGATCAAATAGATTTTTGCCTTAAATTATATTAATCTCAAATTATTAAAATGGTTAAAAGAATACAGCATTATAACTAAAAGTAGCAGTATTTTAATTGTATATTATTTTAAGATAAATCAATACTCTAGACAGACTTATTCATGTGTGGTTCTGTGAAAGATTGTTATAGTCATCAATACATGGAGGGAAAGAATTTTTATTAGACTAACTACTGTATTAAAAAACCCCAGCTATCCACCAATGCAGCTCAGTATTTTACTATTACCTGAAAATTCCTATAAAAGACATTTTTTGGTTAAATACAAACCAAAAGTGTTCAGGTTCTTGAAAAACTTTCTCATGAAAGAGGACCTGTAGTTTTTCATTGGATGAGTCAGTTAATCAATAAAGAGAACAGCTATGTAAGTTTCAAGTTGTTGACACTTTCCATTAAATCTGAGGGTTGCTTCTCACTCAAATTAATATAAAAGCACAACTTACCCCTCCAATTATATATGACTATGTTTCTGAATATCAGTCTTGATGGTAGTTTTCTTGCAGACCAACTAGAAGCAATAAGAAAAGCATACTTATTTTTTGCAATAACCTCAATGAAGCTAACAAGTTAAAGCTTGAATGCCTTTGACCAGGTATGTTTCCAAGAAATATTCCCATACTATTTGTTGAAATATCCGATCCTTATTCAAGATTTCCACATTTATATCATTGCTGTTCTTCTGACATCTCATTTCAAATAAGGTCTATTCAATAAAACATCATTGGTTTATGACTTGGAAACATTCAGGTAATTTGGTGACTTTTCTATTTGCTCTGTCGTCATCCCCAGAGATGTTGCCTGATATCAAGAGAAGTGCACTCCAGGAGTTCTGCTGGCAGTGGTATCTCCATAGGTGGGAAGAAGAACCCCCACCACACGTTTCCAGGACAACTCACCTCACACAGTTAAATACTGTGCGATAAAGAAAAGTATCTAAAAATGGGAAAGGGCGAATCGCCCTCTGAAGATACTCTTCCTCACTGACTACTGAAAAAGCTAAGCCAATTTTCTGAAGCCAAAATTAGATCAATCCCATTCCTAAACATTTTAACATTCAATTTTTTTTTACTGCAAACATCAAGCAATAACCCTTACATGTTGAAGCTTTCGAATGCCACGTGTTTCTATGGCAATTCTTAGATTAACTTATCCTACAGTAATGCATACAAAAAAATTAAAAATAGTCACGTAATGTATAGTTTCCAGGTTATTGATAGAAGCCTAAGCATTGAATCTGGCTAATGAGATATCAGCAAGCTCTTGAGCATCTAAGCTTTGGTACTATAATTTGTTCCTGTTTGTATTATATATAAATGAACTATTCCTTTTCCTTATATCAGAAAGACTCATAAAATACCAAGTACAAAACTCAGTTTCTTTTTTGTTTCTTCATGAAGACAGCTTAAAATTTCAAATGCAGAAGAGAAATGCAAGTTTCTAAGCTACAGATCTCTCAACTGTACATTTACCAGAAGGGCTATATATAATGCGGTCTTCCCTCTCAAGGCTTCCAGTAAATGGGTGCCTTGGAGGGAAACATACAGCCTTTTAGGCCATCCTCTTACATCATAAAGAAATAAAAAGACTTTTTTTTTTTTTGGCCCTCTTGTATTTCCTTCTTCACTGTGTCATAAACATGGGTTATTAACTAATGATACTACTAGCTCCTCTGTACTTCGCACCATTAATTAGAGCATTAGGACTCAGGTACAGCACAGCAAGTGTAGAGGGGCCAGAGATAAAGGAAAAGAAGTTAAAAACTTGGCATGTTCAAAAGAAATAACATAGAGGGGAGAAAAGGAATATCTCTAAGGTCCATATACAAGATTGGAAGAGACTGAAAACATCATGGTATTTAAAATCCACTGAATTCCTATGAGAGGCAACACATTCAGAAGAGTAGGAAAGGAAAAACAACTGATGATGAACAGGAGAAGGGAAAAAAAGGTCATACACGGGAGAGTCACCAAATATTTCTCATAGAGCCCAAAAGACTGAGGAAACTTAGTAAAGCTATGGTAGTACAAGGCGAAGTGTCAGAACCTAATCCATAAAGTCCCAAACTCCATAGAAAAAGGAGTCAGGGAGATGCAAGACAGCTTTTGGAAGTAACTTCAGATACAGAAGCTGGACATGCGAGGTCCTGGCAAAAACCAAGAATGCAAAAAGGAGTAGGTTAAAAAGGAAGGTAGTGGGTTAACAAGAAGGATCTAGAAGATACAGCAGTGCTTAGAACTGAAATGAGTCCAATACAGCAGAAAACATTAACTTCAGAAACAGAGCAGAGTAGAAATGATAGAGTCTATTGAAAAACATCACCATGTAATTGGAAAATATCAATGAAAACACCACATACATCAAGTAAAGAAAACAGAAGGGACAGTGTTGAGTGTCAAAGGTGACAGACAGATTAAGATGGATGAAACAAGAATTATGCCTCAGATTTAAGCAGGAACAAGCCACCTGTGACCTTACAGCAGGTCAGCGAACTCAAACATCAGAAAGAAGATTGGAGGAGATCAGGGAAAGCGTGGGTGGACAGAAAGTCAAGACAATATAAAAATATACCATTAAATATTTAGAAATAACTAAAGACAGGATGTAGGACTCCAGTGAAAGGGCAATATATGCTGTGAAGAACATATTTCAAATTTCTGAAGCAAGGGTTTGTTTTCAGTGAAGAGAAACTGAAGCAGAGCAGCTTAAATGAAACAGAAGTAGAACTTAAAGAGGGAGTTAGGAACAGCAGCAAGTACAAGAGATGAAGACAGTGTGAAAGGATGTTGATATTAAGCAGCAGAAAGTATAAAGAAGGCTTCTAAATCTCAAAGAAAAAGATTGCAGTAAAAAGTTACAGCTATTTTAGGCCAGTATATTTGATGCACAACCAAGATAGTTCTTTAACATCTTTACTCTGACATTTTAAGGAAGCATTTTTTTCAAAAAGCACTGCATTAAATCCCTGAAGGAGAAATTTTAATATACTTATAATTCACTTTTACCTTTTTATCCTTACCATCTGGAAACACTTACAGTTGCTAAAAACTCCTGTTACCAGGAAAAAAAAAAAAAGCCTCACACAAGAAAAAGGGCTTCATACAGCCTCCTCCATACCAGGAAGTCAGTGCAAATTGGGAAGGATTTGCTACTAGCACTTAACCTTCACCTTACAGAGTTTATTTTTAGGATTGAGTGACAAGCTGTAACTCTGAAGTGAAAGAATAAGGGAAAAATTGAGACTGAGCCACAGCTTTCTTTTTCAGATATAATGTTTTTATCTTGAATTACTTGTTAAAGAGTCAACAAATAAAAAAAAAGAAGTTAAAAGCAAGACTTTAATCACTAGATTAATTGCTCCTTTCTTGTTCCAGCCTTTCATCTTATATTTTCAACATTATATGAATTAAAAGCTCTCTGGAACAGGAAGACTATCTTTATAAAAGTCTAAAGCAACACGTCTTTAGTACCTCCTAACATTTAGTCATTGCTAGCATGACACTACTATCCCTGTTCGGCTCTGAGTGAACCTGTTATATCACACACATGTTCAAAGCAAACGGGTACATTATATAGAAGATCTAAGTGAACTAGTTACAGTCAAAAATTCATTTATCAATAAAGCTGAGAAAGAGTCAAGCCCTGGTATCCCAGTCCCATAACTGCTAGCCTTAGTAAGGGAGCCAACTCGACATTTATTCACATATAGGGCAAGAAACATTCTTTTAGTTTTGTATTTATTTCCAGTTGTTATTATTACAAACTCTGACACACACACATACACCCTCCCCCGTCCTCTGCTGCCCTGTGACATTGACCCCGAGGCTAAAGAAAAGCTAATCCTGCCTACATACAAGGATTTCATGCTATGGCTTTGGATCTCTGTTTCCCTCCATCCTCTATCAATTAGTCAATTCAAAGAAACAGATGGAAATCAGTGCCAAAGCACTCTTTTATCCAAGAGAAAGCAAATTAGAAATCAGAATACTCAATTTAAAATATAAATGCAAATTATTACTGAAGCCATAACTGTATTTTAACATGCAAATCAAAACTATCACCCCACCTGGAGGGGTACAAAAAAAAAAAAAAAGGTATTCCAGTGAGGGAAAAATAAATTGAATTTTAAAAAATATTTTAAGATTCCAGAAGCTAAATTGCTGTTGGTAACACTTGAGAAACCTTATCAATCACTTTGTTATTGTATTTAATCCAAACTATCTGCACAAAACTTGCAGATTAAGTCAGTATGTGCAGCCTGCCAGCCATATCATAGAGAGGAAAGGAAAACAGTTCATTTGGATTGCAGTTGTTTCTTGGTATTACCTTTACACACATAAACAGCCTCGGCTTTAACGCCCTTCTCAAAAGTTTTTACAGTTTGTGGCTAAGTTGTCAGTGTAAAGGAACCACAAAGCCCAAAATACCTTTTGAAGAACAAAATCTGATTAGTACAACAAATCAGGACTGCTATTAGGTTCGCAAAAGCATTTGAAAAGCTCTCTATTCATACAGTAGCACTACCCTTGAAACTTATTTTATACAGGTTAAAGAAATTAACTCATGACACAACGTTGTTTGATGCATAAACTCTTTGTGGCAGGGGCCATCTCCTTGTTCTGTGGCAAGACAGCATCTAGCACAGAATGTTCCTGTACACTATAAATACAATTAGGACCACTAATTACTCAACATACAACGTCAACATGTTCTTAAAACGCTTCAGCTGAAAAACCATCATTAACACACGATGCAGAGTTCAGTTCCAGGCTACTTCTATGCCCTTACTTCCTTCTGAACCACTGCTCTAGTCTTTGCTACTGCAAACACTGGTATTATTAGAAAACTCCTTTACTGAAATCCCTTTCTTGACTCAGCCCAGCACTTTCGATTCCTTAAAGTCACGCTTCTTTCAAGGAGACTGTCAAGGTTGCCATATGATCCCCATAACCAGTGCATCTCCATGCCACATTATTATTACTCTGTTTACACATGGACTCCTCAGATAGCAAACTACTGTCATGCTAATAAAATGGTCTGAGGATTGATACACACCAGAGGCTCGATGTTTAGAAGCTTATAATTCAGTTTAAATTACTGGTAACTGCAGTCACTCAGGTTCAAATGAGGAGGTGGCATTACAGGGTTTTCACTGGATGTTTGTCTCATTTTCAGATCTCTCAGGTCTCACATCGTTGCCTTAACTGCAAGATCGACTTCCTGCCTCTTGTCACAGACTAAAACTTTGTCTCCAAGATGTCTGCTAATTGCTTCTTACTCTGGCAACGGGCACACCTCTTGCTTTCATGTGAAGAAATACCACAAATTTGGTTGCATACAAACAACACAATTATTAAAATACAATCTCACTTCAGGCTGAAGGAATCACTTGTGGGAATAGAAGGTTGTGAGATAAGAAATACAAGGCTGCCCCACCGATTGCATCTCACAAGATACCGAACACGTGCAGCGCATTAGCATCACATCCTGCTAGGAGTGGATCCTGTGACAAACTAGTAGCAGGTCTAGGAACAGCACTGGCCCACAAAGTCTTCCAGTAGTGCCTTTTTCTACCAACAATTTCCTCAAAGAACCACCCCCGAGGTCAAACCCTCCAGAAGGCACCACCTGCCATCACCACGCTCCTGGCAGAGAAAGAGGGTCTCACACCCCCTTCACTTCCCACAGTCAGAGCTGGGAGCAACGTGGGAGGAGGAGGAGGGAGGTTACCTGGGCTGAGAAGAACTCAAGGTGCCCAGCCAGCCCTGAGGAAGCCACCCTCCTACCTAAGAAACATCACCCTCTGCCACAGGACTAGGGGGACCTTCCCTACATGGGACAGTGAGGAGACATAAGAGAGAAACAGGGTGCCCTTCAGGACAAGGAACTCAGCAGAGATTAAAGGAGTTAAAGGATCCCTTTCCACACAGCTCCACCCATAACGGCTACCAAAGAACGAAAGGGAAGGGCTGCTTCCCTCCGTCCTCCCAACCGGGAGCACGCGCCCTGCTTATCCCCAGAGAAAAACGGGACGAAAAGATGAGAACTCGCCCACCACCAGACACTGCCTCCCAGGCCCTGAGGGAAGGGAGGCTGAAAGGAAGGGAGGCTGAGGAGGGAGGAGGCGCCCGCCTCCATCTTGGGGACAGACACCAACTTACCCGCCGGAAGCCTCGGCGCCCTCTTATTGGCCGCCGCGTCACGTGGGAAGGGGAAAGCCCCGCCTCTCTACCCCCACCTTTTGCCGGCGATGAACCGTTGGTGGGGAAAGGGGGGGGTGTCTGTGGTCACGGGGCTTTGCGCATGCGCCGGAGCCGGCAGTGGTGCGCGTGCGCTGGTGCGGCTGTGGCGGCGGCCGGGGCGCGAGGCGGTTCCGGGAGCGCGGGAAGCGGGGCGGGGTCACGGGGGCGCGCGCACGCGCCGGCGGCTGTGGCGGAGAAGGAGGAGGAGGAGGGGGAGGAAGAAGAGGAGGAGGGACCGTCCCGCCCCGCCCCGCCCCGCCCCGCAGGAAACGGTGCCGCCCGGGCCCCGCTCGGCGAGAGGGCGGGAGAGAAACCGGCAGGGGAGCGTCTTCTTCCTCCTCCGCTCCGCCACCCCGGGACGCCGTGAGGGCACCGGCAGGAAACGGGGCCAGCCCCCTCCCCTCTCTACATCCGCCCCGATCCTCTGAGGCGGGCGGCGGGGGGAACCGGCGGGAGCCGTGAGCCCTTCGCCCGCCCCTCTTCTCCTCAGGCTCCGTCCTCTGCCCCGCCCGCCGCCGCCCGTCCCGAGGAGGGAACCCGGCACTTGTTGCTGAGGCGATGGTCACCGGCCCGGCCGAGTAGGCGAGGGACCGCCGAGCCCGCCCCGCGGGAGAGCACCGCTGCCGCTGTCGTCGAGGGCCCGGCCCCTCCGGGGGTGGTTCCGGGGATAATCTCGGTGTGTTGTATCCCTTCCAGTCTGAGGAGTTCGGTTCTTCTGGGCCCCGGTGTCCCGCCCCGGATGGTGACGGCGGGCTGAGGGGGTGTTGGGGGGGGGGCACCGCCAGACGCCGCCCGCTCTGCCCGCAGGCCGGGCTCCCGCGGCACAGGAGGAGGTGAAGGAGGAGAAGGAGGAAAAAAAATGTCCTTCTTCAACTTTCGGAAGATCTTCAAGCTGGGCGGCGAGAAGAAGAAGAAACAATACGAGCACGTCAAGAGGGATTTGAACCCGGAGGAGTTCTGGGAAATTATCGGAGAGCTGGGAGATGGGGCGTTCGGAAAAGTCTTCAAGGTAAGGGCAAGCGGGGGACCCAAAGCCTTTCTGGCTAAAAAAAAAAACAAAATTAATAATAAAAAAATAAAAATAATGACTTATAGTACTGCTTCAGAGCTCGGCGCTCTCTAAAGCGCTGTCACCTTGGGGATACCTGTTGTAAGCATCGGGTTTGCGGAGGAGTTGGGCGGGCAGGGGAGCGCTGCCCCCGCTCGGTGCCCGGTCCCCGCGGTGGGTTGGCCGGGGAGCCGAGCGAGAGATCCAGGCGCCTCTCGGCCACGGAGCCTCATGAAACTAAAGATAGAAAAGACCTATTAGGTCATTGTCCCGCCTTTCTGCTCCACCCTGCCCCTCGCTGAATCGCTCGCTTCTCCTCTATTTTGGTTTTTTTTTTTGGAACTCCTGGACGGCATGGCTTCTGGTCTTACAAAAGCTGCGTTTTCTTAGGTGCGGTTATCATACTTTTGTTTTTTAAACTTTCTGTGTGGAAGGAAGCCCGTGACCAGCAAAACTGACTGCTTGTGCCTCCCGTGTAGTTTATAGGGGCGTGCTCACATCGCCTTTAATGGGCTTTCTCCTATCTTGTTCCATGTGGAACTGAATTAAATAGTTATGTTATCTTGGCTGTCTTTACATCCCAGAATTCCTGTGTTGGGTCTCCTAACTTCTTTCAGTTTGATCTTAAAATCTTTTAAGTATATTGGTACAAAGAGTGCTTTTAAGGATGCTTATCTAGAATTAATCAAGCAGAGTAGAATGACATAGCGCTGCTAGTGTTTGACGGGACTGTAGCTTTCGCATAATTATTTTGCTACTTTTCCTTTTTCTAAAAGGGCATTAATGCTCCACATTTCGTTTAGGTATAGTGCGGAAAAAACATCATGGAAGATAAGCATGAGCAAATTGGGGAACTGACACGAACTGAGACTCTGGAGCAGGTTCTTGAGACTAGAAAAGTAGTGCAAGAAAGAATAGCACAGTGTTTCTGAAAGCTATTTTGGTCAAGAAACATTTATATTTAGAGTACTGCATTGGAGAGTTTATGAATCTGGCTACTCATGAAACCTGTTCTATTTTTGGTAGAAACTATTTTAGATTTTATTGTACTGTGATTTTTTCTGCTTGTAAATTTGAGCAAAAGTGCCTCAGTTAGTTCATAATGCTAGTTAGGGGTTTTCCCTAAGCAATTTGTCAGTGTTCTATTTTAAGAGCATCTAGTTTATTTTGACGTTGGTTTAATACATTGTCTTGATAGTGGTTCTCATGTATGTCAGTGTGGAAGATGAGATTTTTTTTCTTTTTGCTAAAAGAAATGGGGAATATGTGTGCAGCTGCTGTATCATGAAGCTTAGTGACTATAAAAACATAATATTGTCTCTAACAGCAGTTGCACATTTTTCTTTAAACTTCATAGTGGAGTTTTGATTCCCTTTTTGTGGATATAAAGCTCTGTCCCGTAGAGGTGACTGGGGAAGCCTCAAAGGCACAATGCTAAATGTGTTCTCCTCCTCCCTCACATGCATTTCCCCTCCCCTTCTCAAACTTCTTCTCACTTGTTATTTATCCTGTAGGCACATCTGTGTTAGCAGCAGTCTGTAGAGGAAAGTGTCTGAGCAAGACAACTGGTCAATTCTGCATTTCAGTGTACTATGCATACAAGAAGAGAGTTTCTTCCACTTGGATATGATTTTTCACTTTGAGATTTCTTTCTGAATGTGAAATGGCAAGATGTTAACTGTTGAAATTGAATTAAACCCTATTTTAAAAATTATAGTAGTCAAAATTACACCTGCAGTTATAGTGGTAAACTTAGTGAATATAGCACGTGAAAATGAACAGGTTTCCTGGGAAAAAATATCCCAATTTGAAAATGTCTCCTACTGCATGTTTTCAGCAGCGTTCGTTCTGTTTCCATCTAGTTTGAGAACAAAGATTGCACACAGATACTGACTGTACTCGTCTTCCTGCATCTGAGCATGCTTGGCAAGAAACTCTTTCGACAGGCAGGGTGTGTTAGGTTGTTCTTTCTTGGATGTACACCTCAAATGGGAAACTGCAAGAGTAGCCATTCGGTACCTTCTCAAATTGTGGAATCAAAACTATAAGCTAGATCAGAACTGTCAACTTTTGAAGACGTCTTTAAGTAATGTGTTGGCGGGGAGTGTGTGTGTATTTTTTGTGGGGGTTTTTTTTTTGGTGGGGGGGAGGGGTTATGTTTTGTTGTGTGGTTGGTTGTTTTGGGCTTTTTTTCACAAAAAAAATGCCAACCCTGTGTCAGTTACATTTGCCAAAACTACATTTGCTTTTGTTTTAAGATCCTAGGAGTCAGCGTGTGACAGGGTTTTGGCAGATACATGATAAAATAGAATTGCCAGATAATTAAGGCTTTGTATACTTTGGACTTCAAATAAAACATAGGTTAGATCGGTTACATGCAATGATTCTCCATAGAAAAGTATTTGGTTTAATTGTGTAACTTTCATCTTCTGGGCAAAGTATCAATTATTTTAATAAAATCTCACAATCAACTCTTAAATGATACCACCAGTATTATGAAGCCCAGCTAATTAAATTATTTACTTAAAAATGCTATGTTGAGTGATAACTAGTTTTGTATGTCATTCAAAGTTGTAATTCATTCCCCTTCTTCCCAATCAAGTACAAGGGTCTTGCTTATTTTTTTTAATAACTAAGCTAGCCAAATTACCAGAAGAGCTTATTTCCTTTGAAGCTGTTTGTTCCAGTTTTCTAAAGCTTTCTTAGCTCTGACAATTCATACGTTTGTATTCACTAACTTCTAAGTAATGTTTAAAAATACTCTAAGTGTTTCTGCTGCTGATGTGAGTCTCTCGTGTGATCAGAGGAGCCATGGAACTGCTGCTGATGGCAAAGGTTTATGGTTGTATAAGACTTTTCATTCCGGTCCTTTTCAGCCTCTTCAAAGAGGCCACTTTTGGGCTGTTTTCTTTTCTTCTTGCTCTTGGCTAATGAATAATGGTGTAGTTTTCCATCCTTTTTCAGCTAACAGGCCCTTGTAGTACTTCAGTATTAGGTGATGGCCCTTATAAAGAGAATTTCAAGATTGCTGATGATAGACTTTTTTCCAATCTTTTTTAATTGCCTTTCATGGTTATTAAGAATGACTGAGTGGGCTGCTGGGGTTCTGAAAGCCCCTGAAGAAGCATAATGTTGGCATTGGGGGCTGATTTCAGCTTTGAAATTTGGCAGTTAGATCTCAAACTACTCTTTTTAAGAGAAAAAGATTGAGAGATTGAAACAGCTCTTGATTTGGTAAGGTTAAGTCCCCTGAAAAACCTTAGGCTCCCAGTGTTCAAGTTAATTGTAATCAATTTGCTTTAGAAATAAGTTACATTATTATATCAGGTTACTTTGTGTGTTGTATTGCCCTGTTGTATCAAATGTCAGTTCGGTGCACATAGGAAACCTTGCTTTAAGGTAAATCAGTGTAAGTAAGTGTTAAACTGTAGTCATTTTAAGTAACCATGTGAAGACTTTCATCAGCTTTAAGCTGCTTTTTAAATTCCCAGTAGTCAGTGTTCAGATGGTGTGAAAGCAGACCTTTAAAATGCCTAATATGTTCCCTGGCTCCTTCTTGCTCAAGTTCCTGATTGAGAATCTTTGTGCATACAGATGCACATAACTAATTAAAATGCAGATATCTTCCAAAGTTAACCTATTGAATGAAATAAAGTGATGTGATTCTATTTCAGTAAAATTTGCCGGCCTTTTTTGGTAGAAAGAACATTGTACACTAGTATAAGAAAACATATTGCAGAAAGGCCTTTTCCTAGTGCTAAGATGGTGTCATCTCTGAGCTCTGCACCAGAGAATACTCCTCCAAGAAATTAATGGCCTTTTGGCCATCATTATGATAATTAAGGGTATTTACAAATATACTAATTCACTTCTTCTGTGGGAACAGATTCTATAGCAGTAGAATATATGTGGCAGTATACCGTGTAAGATATAGAGTATCTATGTATGTTATATGTATATAGGGAAAATATATACTGTATATATATTTTTCACAGAAACTGGCAAATTATTGGAGAAACCTTTGTATTAATCTGGTTGTAAATTGCATTCATGCTTAGTTTGAATTGGAATATTCTGCCCATTTATAATATCTCATTTATTACCCTGAATCTAAGATGTTGGAAGCATTGTGCATACACGATTCTCTATAAGAATTTGGAATATCAAATATTTGTATTTAATCTAAAGTTACGAAGAGAAGTTTTCCAACTCTCAGCAATTAACTGATGCTTGATTAAAAAGCCTATTCTGCTTTCTCTTTAGGTTCAGAGAAGAAATGTTGTGGAAGCTGATAGCCATAATCATGGGGAACAGCATTACCCAAATGCATTATCTTCTGAAAATTACAGCTACATTAATAATTCATATATACTTATATTTGCAATAGTGGCCAATACAAACTCATCTCTGGGAAGACAGTGGACTTTAGATAATAGCATTTCTTAAAGTCCAATAAACGAATGATGGTGCTTCATTTAATCTAAGCTTTTGGTTTTGTATTTAAAGCTATCTTGCCTCCAGTATATCTATTTGATTTACAGGAGAGCTTGTTTTTGCCTAAATGTCTTCTACAGCAGGTAGAAACAAATAGAATTTTTAAATAATGATTTAATAAGACTGTACCAATTATATAATTTAATGACAGTGTGGCCTTAACTCCTTTTAATGCTAAAATGTGAACTGGCAATTGGTCGCTGCTTAGAAGTACTTTTTGCATACCACTAACATCGTAACTTATTTCCTAATCCTGGAAAATGCTTCAGTTAGTCTGACCTGAAAACAAAATCAGGGCAGAGCAAGGAGAATTTACATTTCCTAGTTTCTGTGGCCTTACAGTACGTTGTTCTAAATAATTCCTACCATTGGATGTTGGAACTTGAAGTTATCATGTATCATACTGCTTGCTAGAGTGGTTAGCTCTTACGTCTGTAACTTAACACTCATAGGAATAGATTTTGACC